TTGTGTGTTTGTTTTCTGCGTTAGGGACTTGGCGTGTTTGTGAGTGAAGCTTTTTCGTTGGTTTTTTATTGCAGGAAGAGATATTCGATGAGACGGATCATCATGGAGAGGATTCATAGTAGTGTGTTGTTACTTGTGGATGTTTGAGCCATATAATGTTGTTGTTGTGGGTACTTTTACTTATTGGGGAAGAAAAAGTTTTGGCTTTTATGTAAAAAGCTTGTAGCTAAGCTGAGACCCTGAGGGAGATATTTTGGCATCCAATCTGAGGATAGTTATGAATCATATGATGTTTTATTTATTTATTTAAATGTGCGTGTATATACACCAACATTCATTGGTTCAACTTATGTAAACCAACATTCATTGGTTCAACGTATGCAACTATGTAAGCACTCGAGGCCTACTTATTAATGGTCTCAAATTTTTCCAAGCGGGGTTGGAATCTCGGCAGGGATTGATCTTGATTTTGTGATGTTTACCTTTTTTTTTTTTCTTTTTTTTTGAAAACGACACTTAAATAAAAAATAAGGTCATACGAACGGAAGACTCACTACTCACTAGCTTTTACAACCAAAACAAAACAGAAGAATCACACCAACGGTGGCCTAAGACATTACAAAAATCGAAAACAACAAATTAAAGGCAAATACTACGATTTGACACATTTAGAATACAAATTAAGGCATCTAAGCTAATACAAATTAAGGCATCTATGCTAAGCTAAAAAATCGAAAAACCAAAACAACAAACAGCTTCGATGACCCTAACCCTAGAAACTATCTGTGAGCCCCTATAAATCCGATCCATTCACACAATGCCACTTGAACACCGACCTCTCCAACATCCATACGTACTGAAAATACCCCATAGGTTGCACGCTTTCCAAAGCAACCTAACCCTGGAAACTATCTGTTCAGCTTCTGGCCGGCAACCATTTTTACACCAGTATTTACTATTTAGTGGATATCAGTATGTAGGGAAACTTCACCTCTGCCGACGTGGGGAGGTGACTTTGCTTGTCTGATCCCTTACAATCTAAAGTGAGATGAAAACAAATGGATAGGTGGACTTGGAGGCTGGTGCCTTTGTTCAGTGATGTGTACTTTTGGTCTTTGGGATATTGCTGTTATAATCTTATGTTGGAAAAATCAGTTATAAAATATGGGTTTGACCCGATTTTGACTGAATTTTTTATGGATAAATATTTAATTTTAGTTGAATTAAATTGTAGAAAAATTCTACGTTCCGAGTAGATACTCGTGGTATATTTATTTTCTCAAAACTGATTTTCGGTGAGTGAGAAATAAATTGTTAAAGTTAGCCATGAAAGGGTACGTAAAACGTTGGTTGTGGGAATTGAAGGGTCAAGAGTCACTCCCACATTGGACTCTTAAATGAGTTTAACTCTCTTTATGATAATAAAGAGAGTTGGAGAGGTTACAACAAGCACAAAGCTATGCACCAAGTGTTGGTGTTGTTTTCGGCCACACGCGCACGCGCGCGCGCCCGCCGGCCGGCTCGGGCACGGGCCTTTGGGCCTTGGTTCTTGGCAATTGGACTTTGGGCTGGACTTGGGCGGCCTTGGGCGGTTGGGTGCAAATTTATTTGCAATTTTTAGGCCCAACTGAAAAATCCGATTTAGATTTGGTCTCGGGTTTTGACCCAACCCGAGTGATACATCTCCAGGTACAATGGATCTGGACACATGACTTTTCATGTGAAATGTAACACCTGACCTTGTGTTAATGGTGTTGATTACCAGTTAATGGTGATAACTCCATATTAATAGTGAATTAACACCTGAAAAAGTTTTATGCCCATTATTTTTGCCTTAAGTGGCAGATATGACTTCTGGTTTCCCTCAAGATGTGGAAGTCCTATAAATAGGACTTAGAGCTGCAGTGAAAGATACACAACATTTCATGCAATCTGATACTCTCAAAAGCATCACGCATCATATCATAGTTCTCGGTTCTCGACTTCATTCTTGTTCGACTGGACTCTGAAGGCTGGTGTCAGGGACGGATCTACACTAGCATAAGGGGGGGCCATTGTCCCCCCCAAACTTATAATTTTGTTTAATATATATGTATGTATATATATTAAGACTCTTAAAATTTTTAATATATATATATATATATATATATTATAGATTAAACATATATAAAACATATTCAATTTATATTCATTCCCATAATTATTACAAATTATTGTATCGTTCTATTTACTAATTAGTTTTAACAACATTATATTTTGTAAGTAGAAAAAATATGACATTTCATAGTATAAAAACGCATTTTTAGTACGAAAATATATTTGTCTAACAATTAGACAGTAGGCAGTTTACCAATTATAGCGTTTGTTTTAATATCGAACCAATCAATCAGTTAGTTTCGTGAGTGTAAAGACTGTTGAACATTTAAAATACCAAAATTAAGAAGTTATGTATTTTGTAGTGCAACTTATTAATTTTGAAATGCAATTTTATGCCTATATGTATGTCTTGTGTGAGAGAGATACTAAAAATTATAGTTTCCCTCGAAATGTTATTCATGTTGTGTCAACTTGAATACCTCATGTTTAATCTTGTGATAGTTTAACAAAATGAGTCGGATCAGCTCCACTATTTAATAAATAAACAAAAATATGAGCTCAAACTCGACTTGTGTAAACTTCAATCTATTCGATTTATTTAATAAGAATGTTTGAATAGTCATTCTTGCTTAGCTCATTTAAATATATAATGGTATGAGATCAAACTTTTACGAGTCGATTGAACACAATTTGAGTCTAATTATCCTTTCGGTCCCTCTCAAATATTTTTCCTAGATCCGCCCCTGGCTGGTGTGCTACAGCTTCCGAGTGTTAAAGTCGTTGTATCTTTGGGGACATTACGCACTGACCCGTCAGCACTACACGGGGCGTATTTGTCTTGCGGATAGATTTCAACCGCCTCGGCTCAAATCTCTCCGCGTTCGAGTTGTAATTTCATTTTTTGTTTTAGTTCTTTTGTACAAACTGAACACTTCAGTCAGTTCATAGGTTCCCGTTGTGATACAAAACACACTTTGTGTAACATCTTATTGTCCACGTCATCACAGTTTAAGTAGACTTAATCTAGATCGACATGTTTTGAGTATAACAAGACACATGCCAATGCATTATCTTATAAACAAGTTCATAAGTAACTCATCTTCATATAATTCTTTCAATCGAAAGTATCTCATTTTTTGGTTTTTGTTTGAATTGCAAATTTGCAATAGCCGTCGACTAAATCAAAAAAACAGGAAGAGCTGCTATTTAGTTAGACGGCAAATACTTAGGTGTGCCTTGGCACACCTTGCTAGGTGTGCCAAGGCCTTTAGTGAAATGTACCCATCCTAAAAGCGCGTGAAGTAATGTGAGGTAAGGAGGTAAGA